ATACTGCTGCTGCTGCCGCATCTGCTGCTGCTGCTGCAGCTGCTCCGCCGTCTGCTGCAGCTTGTGCGCCGCCGCAGTCGCCGCGCTGGCCGCCGCCGCGGGGGCGCGGTCGTCTCCGCGGCCGCGGGGCGGCGTGCGCGGCGCGGGGCGGCCGCGGTGGCTGCGGTGGCTGCGGCTGCGGCTGCGCCTGCGCGCAGGCGATCGCGCGCGGCGATCGCGCCCGCGACTGCTGGCGGCCCCTGCGCTGGCGGCGGCCGCGGCGGCGGCCCCTGCGCTGGCGGCGGGCGCCGTCTTGTAGGGGTTGGCCGCGGTTGCCGCCGCCTTCTCGGCCTGGTGCTTCTTCCACGTCGCCACCTCGCTGTCGCTGAGGCGCTCCTCGTTGGCGTCGTCCAGGAGGCGGTTGATCTCCTCTAAGTTGGGCCCGCTCGCCGTCTTGAGAAACTTGTGGCTCTCCGCCGTCGACGTCGCCAAGTGGTTGAAGAGCCGCTCCAAGCACTCCGCGTGGCTCTCCTTGTAGCACTTGGCCTTGCAGTTGCTGACGGGGCAGCCGACCGTGTACCACTCCTCCTCTGTCTTGACGGGGCAGGCTGCCGCGACGTCGGACGACATGGTCGGTGCTGGCGACGGAGCTGGCGTCGGTGCTGACGACGGCGCTCGTGTCGGCGCTGGCGTCGGCGCGGGCGGGCGCCGATGGAGACGCGCTCCGCTGGGCGCAGGCGATCCGCTCCGATGGGCGCGCCGCGCGTGGAGCCGACAATGGCCATGCAATGCGTGCAATGATGCGTGCAATGTGAGCACAAGGCCAGCGATCGGAATCGCTCCCCCGCCAATTTTGTCGTCGTCGGTCGTCGCCTTTGTCAGTCGTCGCCAGAAGTCGTCACATCCCCTCAGCCAGCGATCGTAGTAGCCATCCCCATCCTCACATCCCCATCCACACATCGTAATCGTTAGTCGTCGGTCCTCATCCTCACATCCCTTCAGCGACACCTCCCATCCCCTCAGCGATCGTAATCGCTATTGCACACGCAAGCGATCGTAATCGCTATTGCACACACAAGCGGTCGTAACCGCGATTGCAAACAATCTCTGCGCGCACACAAGAGATCGTTTTGCCGCAGCGCCTGGAGCAGCAAGCGCATGCAGATCGCTTATGCGCGCCCAAGGCGCGAAGAGGCGCCGCACCCCACGGCTTCGCAGCGCCTGAAGCCGCAAGCGCAGCCGAGATGTGCCAGCGCAAGCACCAGCGCCAGCGCGAAGAGGGCGCGACGGCGCCGCGCCTCTCGGCTGCGCGCCATGGCGCGGAGAGGCGCCGCTCCAGCGGCCAGCGCCAGCGGCCAGCGCGAAGCTCCAGCGGCCAGCGCCAGCGCGCCGCGCCTGCAGCGCAGGCGCCAGCGGCGCCGCGCCAGGGCGCCGCGCGCCTCACGTCAGCCGCGACGGCGGCGGGACGGCGGCGGGGGCGCCTCTGCGCCGCGGCGGCAGCGGCGCTGTCGATGGCCTCGGCGCTGCCCCTGGCGTCGGCGCCGTTGCCAGCGGGCGCGCGGGCGGCGCAATGCGCGGGCGCGCCGCGCGCGGCGCCGCGGCGGGCGGGGGCGGCCCCGCGGGGGGAGGAGCCAGGGAATCGCCCTTGCCGCCGCCCTTGCCGCCGCCCTTGACGCCGCTGCGGGGGTCGGGGCGCGACCCAGCGGGGACCTTGCCTGGCGCGCCGCCGCCGTACTTCTTCGCGAAGTACTCCCTGTTCCTCCCCCCGCGGTTGGCCCACTGCTTGGTGTTGACGCGGTACCGCTGGCCGCGCCACGTCTCGGGCCCTCCCTCGGCTGGACCCGCAGGGCCGCGCTGCCACCAATGCAAGCCGAGGGCCTTCGCCGCCGCAGCCTCGCCGCGCAGGTCGGCGACCTGCTCCTCGGTGTAGCCCGCCCCCTGGCCAGCCGCGCGCTCCTCGTAGACCCTCGCCCACGCCGCCTCGGCCACGGCCTCAGGGGGAGGCGGCGCCCGAGGCCCCACCCTCTCGGGCGGCACCCGAGGCCATTGCGACCCCTTGGCGCGCGGGTCGAGGGCGCGCGGGCTGCGGCTCCGCGAGCGCTCCGCGGCCGTCGGCGCGGGCGGCGCGGGAGCCGCCGCTGGCGGCGCGGCCGCTGACTCCTCGGCCGCCGCAGCCGCTGCCGCCTGCTGGGCCCGAGCCAAATCGCGGCGCGAGACGTACGGCCGCGGCGCGCTGAGCGACAGCGACGTCGACGTGCGGCCCGACTGGCCGCCCGACGAGCGGCTGTCGCGAGGATCGCGCGCCTGCGGCGAGGGCGCGACCTCGACGGGGGGCACCTCCTCGCGAGGCCCCGCCTCCTCCTCCTCCTCCGCCGCCTGCCCCTCCGCCGCCGCCGCCGCCGCGGGTTCCTCGACCTCCGCGCCCTCCTCGCCTGGCGACGACGCAATCTCCAGGAGCACGTCTGACGCATCGTGCGTCTCGACCTCCGCGCCCGCCTCGGACGCCTCCTCCTGCTCCTTCTCGGCGGCCTCGGTTAAAGGAGACTCCTGCTTCTCCGCGGCCTCGGGCGGCGCCTCCTCCCCGTGCTCCTCCGCGGCCTCGGGCGGCGCCTCCTCATGAGCAGCCAACGCCGCGTTTGCGAAGACGTCCGCGGCCTCGTTCGCGAAGGCGAAGAACTCCTCGGCGGCATCGCGACGGCCGCGGCCGTGGGGCGGCGCCATGGCGGCGCTGGTGCAGGCGCAGGTGTAGGCGCTGGGCCTGGTGTAGGCGCTGGCGCGCCACCTGCTGGGCCCCAAATGGCTAGTGTGATGCATGCAATGATGTGCGCTATGTGCGCACATGCCCAGCGATCGCCATCGCTCCTCCGCCTCTTGCTCTTCCACCTCATCCACCTCCCCTCCCATCACCACGTCCACTCTAGCTTCGCCATCCTCCAAGCGACAGCTGCAATTCCACTCGCTGAAATCCCCAAGCGATCGCCATCGCTGCAATCTGCACTCGCTGCAAACTAATCTACAATCCCTGCAACCACAATCGATCATCATCGCTGCCCTGCCCAACCGACCTCAAGCGATCCCCATCGCTGTCCTGCAACTCCATCCCTGCACCCCCCCGAACAACCATCCCTACACCAAGCGATCATCATCGCTGCCCCTCCTCCACCACTCCCTATTCATAGCCACAATCGGCTATCTAGTCGTGTGCGAGCACACGCATGCAGGCTGCATCGTCGCAGCGCCCGTGCGAATTCGCCAGATCAGGCGCAGCTGCCGATCAAGTGTGGATGCCGAGCTTCTTCTCCTGTTTGCGCACCCACTTCTTAGCCGCAGCGATCGCCTTGTCGCTGCTGCCGCCGTGGTCGCTGAACTTGATGGCCGTCGACTGGCCTGGACCTTTCGTACCCGTGCGGCACGTGACCTGGTTGCGGGACCATTCCACCGCATATGCGGGTTTCGGTGGTTTCTTGACCCCCTTCGCGCCCACGTGCTCGGCCTCAGTATTCTTCTTCTTGTTCTTCCTCTTCGCCTTGGCCTTGGCTTTGGGGGGCGCGGGGTGGCCGTCGCCAGCGGCCTTGCGCTTCTTCTTCATCGGCGGCGGCGGCTCCGCCTCCTCCACGCCGTCGGCGCTCTTGTTATCGGAGTCGCCCCCGTCGCTGCCCTCCGACTCGTCTTCGCTCGGCGGCGTCTTGGCCACATCTGGCAGGCGTTGTTTGCCACCGAGCTTCGCGAAGATCTTGTCCCTGGCCTCCTCCACGCTGTGCGTCGTCGGCGGCGGCGCCGACTCCGTGTCGCCGATCGGAATCGCGCCGTCCGTGGCGGGCGCAATGGGCTGCGGAGTGCAACGCCTGCATGGCGCGCCGTCTCGCGCACCTTGGCGGCCGCCACCCTGCATCGCCATCGCCCTTTCCGCGAGCTGCAGCGCCATGTCGACGGACGACCGATGGGGTGTCTTCATCGAGAGGTTTCGTAGGTTCCAGCTTCAAAAAAAAAGTCTGGTCGTCGTCTTTCGTATTAATAGGTTCCTTTTTATATGTGTTCTCATATGTTTCGGCCAGTTAGAGGTGGTGGAGGAGGCGGTGGAGGAGGATGAGGCGGTGGAGGAGGTGGAGGACGAGGAAAAGAACGAGGAGGAGGGAGGAAGAGGAGGAGAAGGAGGAGGGAGGAGGAGGGAGGAGGAGTAGGAGGGAGGAGGAGGGAGGAGGAGGAATAGGAGGGGGACGAAGGAGAGTGACAGATGATGTAGGGTAGGCGGCAGAGCAGTGTGAGGAATGTTGCAGGATGCGCAAGTGTGCTGCGCATTGACATCCTCCTCCTCCTCCTCCTCCTCCTCCTTCGCGGGCCGCAGCGCTTTGCGCCGGCCGCGCGCGTCCGCCACGGGCCCCCCCCCGAGGCGGGGCGCCTGTCTGGCTGGGGCGGCGGCGTCGATGACGACGGCGACGACGGCGACGATGAGAACGGCGATGATGACGACGACGTACGAGAACGATAAAGGAAAAGAGGAAGCCTTGAAGGCGCCCTCTTTTCCTTTATCGTTCTCGTGTTCTCGTGCGTCCCCTCCCCAAGGCCCAAGAGCCAATGCGCACCGTGCCGCCGTGGCCGTCATGCGAGCTAACGCGCGCACGGGCACGTCGCCAGCTTGAAAGAATTGTGAGGGTGCCTCGGGCGAGAGCGCCGTTCCTGAGTTTTGGGGCCTCTGGCCATAGCGTCTCGGGGTACAGTGTGGGGAGGTGGAGGAGAAGACGGGAGCGGAGGGGGATGAGTTTTTTTTCAGGCTGCAGATCGGTCGCGAGACCCTGGATTCCCGAAGGTATCCTTACCCAACGCTTCCAAAACGCCAAGATGGGACGATAAGGGAATGCTTAACAGCAAGGGTCCCAGGGTCCAAGGGTCGTCCGCGTAGCCATTTGGGCTCAAAGTTTGCTTCGGCACGACAATGCTTCGGACTGAGAGTTCGATCGCCACTCAGATTTTTCAGCACCTGAGTACCAGGAAGCATGTCACCAGAACGATAGTTTCGACAGGCACTCTCAGCGCTCGAGCCATCAGAGATATGTTGGGTGCCTTGCGTCTGGACGTGAAGCCCAAAACGATAAAGGACACTATATCCAGCCTCGGCATGCGTGCGGATAATCACGGCATCAGGTTCGAATGCTTTCACTTGTTGGTCAACTCGTTCCTGGGCGCCGCTGTTGTGTCAGAGGCCACGCTTGTAGAAGTTTTTGAGAAGCTGGCAGAATCGATTGACGTCCCAGTTATCCAGGCGCCCGACGGTAACGAGGTCAAGGATGCGCTGGCGCTCGCAGCTGAGATCCAAGGCAGCTTCGACGTGGTCCAGCGCCCGAGCGTCTCTGTCTACTACGAGATGCCCAAGTACGATTTAGCAGTGCAGATGGTGGAGCGAGACAACGAACTAACACTCTTGCAGTCCGAACTCAAGCAGGTGAAACGACGGCTGGCGACGACGGAGCAGCGCTTGGGGCTACACACAAAAAAATCTCGGATCCTACGCGACACCCACCGTTCACTTGTGCAGAAAACGAACTTCAGACCAGGCAAGCGCTGCGTCAGCATATGGGGCGGCTACCATTTGGCGTACAAGAGGTCTCACGGCTGCAGCAGCGCACGATCTGTCGTGGCCATGTGTGCTGGCGAGGAGTGGCAGGGGTCCTTCACAGACGGCGCCAAGAACATGGTCATCCGCTTCGAGCATAACCTGTCCATTGCCAGGACCGTGGTCGTCAAATCATTCTATGACTCGGTCAATCACTTGCACGCGACATCGAATGAGATATGCATCAACTACGCGAGGGCGGCTTCTCTGGACAGTGGGGATATGGTGGCGTTGATTGGGAGCAAGTTGTTCAGCTTCGAATTCTTCATGTTCAGGGGCGACGCCACGAACCAAGAGGCAGTCGACAAGGCAAAAGTGTGGACAGGTGAAGCCAGTTACATTGCAACATGCCCAGAGGCGCTGAGCGACATCAGCAGCGACACCAACTTCGACAGTGACGACCTCAAGCTGACATTCTTTCGGGAAGTGCTGGACTTGCAGACAGTTCGGACGGGCGGTGCAAAAGAAACCACAGACTTGGTGACGCGACAGTTTCGCAATGCGGGGCTTCCGACGTGGATGGAGGCCGCATGCCGAGATGGACCTAGCTTTCGGAGTTATCATTTTTGCTTAGATAGCGGACCTGACTGTGTAGGCCTCGTTCGAGCTGCAGTCGCAGCTGTTTCTAACGTCCGTTGGGTGATGATATCTAGTTATTTTTGCCGCTTCCATCAGAACGCGCTGATCCAGCAGAGCATGGTTGATATCACGAACAATTGGGAATGGCATACGCCCTGGGGATCTTCTTCGTTTCTTTCTGGTTTGAAGGTTATCGCGAACACTCTGAGAGGCACAGGCGTCCCACGGAAAGTCAGAGAAGCAGCTGCCGAGCTCAAGTTCCCACCCAAGGTTGTCAAAGAATCTGTTGGCAACACCATTCATCGGGTTATCGCGACGCGGTGGGGCTCCGTTGACGACATCGAGATGTACTTGAGGAATGGTCGGCATGTACTTGGACCCGCTGTCAGACGCACGTGGCCGAAGTTCGACGACACAGACGCAGACAAGACAAAGAAGAAGACAAAAAAGCTGGACGGTGAGGACGCTGAGTGGTACGAGAAACGCCGAAACTACCGCCAGACCACGGTTGCCTTGTTGAATGACAAGTTGTTTTTGGGGACAGCTGAGATCGACCTCGTCGCGAAGGGGCCCCTTGCTCATTTCCAGCGTTGGGCGCAGCAGGAGAGCAAGATTGAGCGAGAACACCGATCGGAAGCATCAAAGCAAGGGACCGCCTACACGGGTCCAACCTTCGTTTCTAAGTTCGTGTCGGGCAAGGCCAAGGTTATCTTAGACGAGTTCAACGCCCTCCTGGACGACGACGCCATGCTGACGCACTGGGTCGGCACCTGGAGTCTGATTCGAGCTGACGATGTACCAGAACATGTCGAGGAGGTTCGCAACGCCAAAAGAAACTTCACAACAATGAAAATACACCAGTTGGTTTTGAGTTTTCGGTTCGTTTTCGGTGGTCTGATTTCGTTTGGCGTTCGGACCTCCTCGAAGGCATTGTGCTTGATCGTGACCTTGGTGGTGCGTGGCGCTCTTGATTGGGAACGACGGATGTACGACCCCACGCAGAGGTTCCCACTCGACTTTCTCAACGTCTTGGAGGCGGACCCTGAGGAGGCCTCGGCTCCTCGCAAAGCCTTAGCCCATCGGTTGATGACTGCGTCCAAGGAGAACTTAGAGTGGCAGGATGGCGTGTACAACTCCTTCAGCTTCAAGTTACGTGCCATGTTCTATGAAGATTTCGTCATCATGCAGGGCACTGGTAAGTGCACGAGGATGGTATGGATATTTCTTTCAGGCTGGCGTGCGTTATTCAATGGCGAGACGCAGGAGATCGAGGGCTGGAACAGTACGTTGAAGAATATGTGCGAACGGGCTCCACGCACTAAGGTGAGACTGGCATCAGATCGCCTCAAGAACAGAGTTGGCGAACGGACCCCCACCGACGAGGCCGTCGCAGTGCACAAGAAGGTCGTCGAGTTCTCAAAGACAGATGCGAACATGTTCCGCTTCAGCCCCCTCACAGACAAGGAGCGCGATGCCAGCGCAGGGCCTCATCCTGATGCTGTCCCTCTTATTGGATCGAGCAATGCGTCCACCACGCACTTCGTCGGTGACCTGCCCGACAATGCCAGAGAAGCACTTCCGATATCTTATAGCATATTTGATGTGACTGACTTGGGAGCCAGGTATGCGTATGTGATTGTCGGCCCAGACGCACCTGATACACGCGCACTTGCTTTAGATCGCAGCGTCGTATTCTTGGCGGGGACTTCGCACTACAAGACGATGTATTGCGCAACTGGCCACGTGGACGAGCTATGCCATTTTCACTTGCACGTTCCAATTGTCAAACGTACTGCGTGTGCTCTGGTTGGTGAGGCCCTACATGCATTTCACCCTCTTCCAGCTGGGCGGAAGCAGCGTCCTCGCTTGCATCTGGTCCAGTACATGTTGTCGTGGACGTCGTTGAAGGCCGCCTCGGTGATCGCTGACACTGCCCAAGTGACGCCGCTGTTCAAGCGGGCCTACAATGGCCCCAAGAAAAAGAATACACACACAGTCGACGCCGAGGGCGGTTTGCCTGACATGCTTGAGGACGACGACGGCTTCTCTGAGGAGCTTGAACGATTGATTGCCCAGGACGCCATGGAGGAGGAGTGCGAGGACCTCGAGGGCGCCAGCGAGGGCCTCGACAGCGACGGCAAGGATACGGACGTTGAGGACGACGCTGGAGATCGACAGCCTGGCCCACATAACCATGCAGGGCCTGATAAAAGCGACGTCTTTGACGCCATCTCTGGCGACCACCGAGCTGAGCTTCTCCGCAACGTGAGGGGCGCATGCGAGGCAAGCCGCACATCTGCTCGGGACGCGATGTACTTCGCTGAGGACTACGGCTTCAGGACTGACATGTCAGATGCTCCAGAGCGGGGCTTGGTATCGTTGGTTGAATTGCGAACAGTTGCAGAAGATGGTCAAGTTCATTACGATGTTGTCTTTGTTGCTTGGGAGGGTGTTGGCAGGTCTGCAAAAATAGCAAGGGTGGACCTCGAGCACCTGTGGTTCAAGTATAACGTGCCGTTTGCGACTGAGCATCTCAAGAGGGAGTGCGACAGGGACCACTGCAACATCATCATCGGGAACGTGCCTGTCAGGATCACGCGGCCCAAGGACTTGCGTGAGCGTGTGCCTGATTGGTGCTTGCTAATTATGAAGGCCTTCGCGGCCGAACTGTTTTCTGGTCCGATTGCTCGCGACTGTCTCTTCAGTTGCGACGCTCCCTGCGTTTTTTGTGCGTGCGCAGACACCATGGGCATGGATGTCAGGGTCGTCGGCGGCGGTGGTGCGCAGCCCGTAGAGCACTTTGATTCGTACATATGTTCCGAGTGCGTTGTGTACTGGCACAGCGCGTGCGCAGAGAACGTGGCACGTGCTTTTGGGATGGGGTCCCCATTCGAAGAGGAGGGCCTTTTCGTTTGCCCCATTTGTCTGAACGAGTGAATGCATTGCCCTGTGGGGTCAGGGTTGAACCATTGGTGCGCACCGCAGGGGATATGTTGGTGCTGCCGCAGGTGTAAGAAAGCCTCGACGTGGCGACTGAGAGGGAGGAGCGTGGGAGGAGGACGGGAGGAGGACAGGGGAGGCGGGGGGGGAGGAAAAGATGCCGATGGAACGAGGAAACGCTGCGCCCAAGAGTGCTCGTCGAGGGATATGAGAGGAGGAGTCGAGGAGGAGAAGGTCGGGGTGGATGGAGGGGAAGGGAGTGAGGGAGGGAGCGCACGGCATCCCGAACAGTGAATTCCATGTCGCGGGGGCCTCCCAAACGCTGTAAGATCAGAAATGCAACGGCAGTCTGACCCTTGAAAATACCAAGCTCACAGAGGAGGATATTGGGAAAATTCTAAGCGTCTTGAGGTGGATGTTGGAATTTTTCTAAGGTGCTTGAGGTGGATGTTAGAATTTTTCTAAGGTACTTGATCTTTATATATTGTTTCTTATTACAGCCAAGTGACCTTAGAATTTTTCTAAACTCCACATCGGGTCGCTCAGAATTTTTCTAATATCCGCTTCGATTCGCGTTGGATTATTCTGATGTCTACCTTTGATGCTTTAGGTCTCGTGAGTCTTGGGTCCGCTCTAGACCGACCCCCTGCGGCGCCGCGCAGCGCTGCCGACCCATCCCTGAAAGCTGCGGGGCGGCCGTTCGGAGGGGTTCGACGACCTCGCGATCCTGGGGGGATGGGGGTCCTGGGGGGGGGGGGGGAGGGGATTCGGAGCGCCAGAACAACGGGGGACGGGTGGGGGAGGGAGGGGGGCCCAGAGGGGGGAGGGGGGGGGGGGATGGGGGGGGGGGGGGGGGGGGGGGGGGGGGGGGGCCGTGGGGGGGGGGGGGGGGGGCGGGCCGAAAAATTCGAAGCGCCAGGGGGGGGGGAGCGCGGGGGGGGGAGGGGGGGGCGGGGGGGGCGGGCGGCGGGGGGGGGGGGGGGGGGGGGGGGGGCGGGGAGGGGGGCGGGGGGGGAGGGGGTGTGGGGGGGTGGGGGGGGGGGGGTGGGGGGGGGAGGAGGGGAGGAGGATTGGGGGGGGGGCGCTCCGAAAAATTCCACCCGCCCCCCCCCCCCGCCTCCCCCACCCCGCCCCACCCCCCTCGTCCGCACCGCCTCTCGGGGCCTCCGCGGTGCCGAGGCCGTAGGGGCCAGGGGGCCGGCAGCCAAAGGCCGGTGGTTCGCGGCAGGGGGTGAGCTCTCAGTGCAAATGTTTGCCCGTCTCTCCGCGCCATTATTTTTTCACCCCCCCCCTTGTGGCGAGACCCTTGGAGGCAGTTTCGCGGCCCTGCTCGACCTTGGCCCTCGTCCTCCGAGCGCTGGCCCTGGAACCCCTGAGATGAGTGGCCTGTGGTGGCCTTCCCATGACGTTCCCTGTCAGCCGTTTCCTGTCCGCTTATCCTATCCTCCCACCCTCCCCCCTCCATTCCCCTGCCTTTGCCAAGTCCTCTGCTCCTTTTCTTTCTCCTCCTCTCCTCCCCTGCCATCGTCGCCCACGTTCTCTCTCATATCCAGTTCTTCTTTTGTCCTGCGAACGCTTGCTTCCGCCAGGCTACTCCCAGCGATGGCAGCTGCCAGCTCCCATGGCGACATGGCGCTCGTGCCCAAGGGGCCCGAGCCCAAGATTGCAGACCCGTCCACGTTGTTCCTTAACGACCGTGCGAGGTTTCCGACGATATACGACAGGTTCGTCGGCTACGTGGCGGGCCCCGAGCTCGAGAATCTAGTGTTCAGGCTGTACGCGCGTCAACCCCGATGGCTGCCCCTCGTGCACGAGGGCAAGTTCACCATGACCAGGGACCCTGCCAACAGGAGGTGCCCCGAAGAAAACGGACGCTTAAGGACACACGCACACGGTTAATGATTACTGCGTCCTTAAGCGTTCGTTTTCTTCTTCAGAAACAGAAACATAGGTACAATATGGCGACAGTCTTGGACAGGTGCAAGTCAGTTGAGACGATTGGCATATGCAAGGTCCGTAAGGGGCCATGGGTAATTCCAGCAGGCGAGAATCAATGGACTGTTCTACACTGGGCGAGCTTGCTTGAAGGTGCCAAGATGGCGATGGAGAAAGATCCCCACAAGAAAAACAGGACGGTTTGGATCGCTCTCGAGGCCGGTTGTGACTCTGCTGTGGAGTTCGACCCGAACTTACCAGACGATGTGAAAGACTACGTCATCGAGCTAGGCAACGCCACCAACGCCAGCACTTTGGTGGTTACGGTGCTCCAGGTGTTCATGTCTACCGAGACGATTCTTTCTGGATGGGCAATCCAGAAGGAAAAGGTAACTGCTACTGGTGACGGTTGTGGCGGGGCGCTTACGCTCTACGCTCGCAGGCATGCCTATGCCAACACTGTATTCTCTGGCCGCTGGCGCTCACAGAACGCGCTCGACGTGACGATCAACACCTACAACCTTTTGCAGACAACGATGACATCAGCAGGCATTTCAATTTGGGATCAGATGGTATCTTATTTCGAGACAAAGGCTGACTACATGCATGAGTACATGAAGGACACGAACGCGGTCATCCAGAACATCAGTTGCATTTGCAAGGTGCTGTGCTCTACTTATCCCGACTTCGTCGTTCCTGTCGTTGCCCTCGTGATCCCGCACCTCGAGTCTGAACCCCTCGGGGCGTGCCCAGCGCTGCCAGATGGCATTCCGCAGGGCAAGTTGCGAAAGCTGTCAGAGGCCATGGTGAGGAACTTACTGGCGAGCATGGCCGACAGCGCGACTATGAAGGCGAAGGTCTCTGCGGGGTGCGCGTGCGCATCGGATGGGGACAACGACGTGTCTTTCCTGAGTGACGTGATCCAGTTCACCGCGATGCTCAAGCACAAGCTGAACGTCCCCCAGGACAACCTGAACGCATACTCGTCGATCCTGTGCTTCTGCCAGCTGCAGGGAGAGTACAAGTTCCAGGGAATGGCAACACCCCAGCGAGGACGATCAGCAGATACACCGCGATGAAGCGCCACATCATCAACGCTGCATTCAAAGCATCTGGCATGGCAAAGAAGCCCAGCGACCTTGAGATCTACTACGCCGACGCAGGGGACGACAGCCAGCTTGCAGAGTCGCCCAGCAAGGCGCCTCTGGAGGAGAAGACTGACGAGACGCTCTTGGACACCTTCAAGACCTTGCAGGACAACGGTTCGGCGGCCCGCATGAAGTCCTACCTGATGGTGAACCCGATCGACAAGCCGATCCAGTTGCACATGGCAGTCTGCGGGATTACGAGCAAGGTCTACACGTCTATGATTGGAGCATGCGGTGGTGCAGAGGGCAAGTCTGGAACTCCAGATAGCCAACGTGAGCTGATCGAAGAGGCCACGAAGCGCGTGGTCACTGCCGTCATGGATGAGATGCCGTTGGCGTTCGACGAGATAGTGATAAACTTTGGACAATTGTCGGAATTCAAATTTGCTTTGACAACTGTTTCAACCAGGAGCGACTATGCCGACACGGAGCTTCTGAGGAAGACGTGCGAAGAGATGGGCGTGATCGGGGCCACCGGCCGCAAGAAGCTGAACATGGTCAGGCTGAACACGTTCTTCGCAGTGTGCAGCACGTTATCTACGATGCAGGTCCCCCTCAACGGCACTCCGAAATACATGTTTGGCTTGCTGTCTGTGCAGGACGTCTTCAAGAAGATCGCGGAGTCCATCGAGAGCCAGCGGTGCGGAGCGCAGGAGCCCATCGATATCAAGATCATCACCAAGGCCATCGACGGCGACGTGTCCATGGCTGTCTTCGGCGACTGTTTCAGCAAGGCTGCCAGTGCCATATATATGTCACCACAACCACGTTAGCCAGCCCCCTCCTGAGGAGGAGGCCAGCTGACGTGGAAGATGTGGCATATTATCTGGAGGCGTTTGCTGAACTGGCGGTGACGGTGAACAAGGTTTGCCCGACCAAGGCGAAGGCGCATCACACGCTCGTCGCGGGCCTGAGGGGGAAGCTGCAGGGCTTCACTCATACGCAGATGAAGGAGTTCGTCGTGTCGCAGGGCTTGCAGAGTATCGAGGTGCCGCCATCCATGGGAATCTTCTCGTCTGTGAAAGCTGCGCTGGTAGAGGATGTCATGACTGCGGTTGAAAAGAAGTGCACCGACACGACCTTGGCAGCCACGATCCTCGTCGGCAACGTTGGCGACAAGGTGGCGATCCTGCGCGACCAGCTGGCCAAGGCAAGCGCCACCACTACAACTGCGGCGGCAACAGCGGCGGTCGTGGCACCGACTGCGGGGCAGACGACTACTCCAACCAAGACTGCCAAGGAACCAGTCCCCATCGCCGTCGACGACGGCAAGGGCATTCCCCAGGGCGACTTCAACCTGACCAGCCTGGGGGTCACGCAGTGGATCAGCATGCTCACCGATGAGGACCGCTCGAAACTAACATACAATATTAATGACACCAGCTTCCTTCTCGCCCTCACTTCTTCTCCCCGCCTTTCCTCCCAAATTCGAGAGGAGCTGAAGTCCAACGGGCCCGACCACCTTGCCATGACCAGCGCGACGAAGGCGCGGGTGATCGCCTCTGTGCAGGGCCATTTCATGCCACCCGCTGACGGACTGCAAGGCCGCTTTCTCCGCGACGTGCTGATTGACTTTTCCAGGAAGAAGAGCGTGGGGACCTTGACAGCTCGTCTGGCGGCAGACGCAACGACCACGGAGGCTCCCGAGTTCGTTTGTTGGGGCAGGGTGGTAGATGCGATCGCTGCGAGGAGCCTTCCGCGTGGCACTCTGCTTCCACTGGGGACAAGCAATGGTTTGAGTTTGTTCCTGGATGGCTCGAAGCTCCTCAACCCTTTGGTTTCAGACGCATGCATCGCATGGATGCTCCCGATGATCAAGGACGACGTGGACGGTGAGACCAACGCCGATGTTGCCCCCTTGGTGGACAGCGCGGCCAACCCTGAGGCTGGTGCATGCGCAGCTGGCAGCAGCAGCGGTGCCCAGCCGCCCAGCAAGAAGCGCAAGGGCGCCTCCGCTGCCAAGGCGCAGCAGGCGCAGCAGGCAGCACCCCCAGCAAAACCACAGCCGAAGAAGGCTGGCAATCGCAAGAAGCTTTCTCACACGCACTCTGTCGAATTCGAGACCGTGCAATTTGATGTCGAGGTCGACTCGACTGCCAAGGTTTTCACTTTCGAGAGGCCTTTCTTGAAATCCAACCGTCCCCTCAAAGCAGGCGAGACTCTTCGTCGCAAAGCCTTCGAGTGGACGGAGGCCAACTCCCCAGGCGAGGTTGTCTCGGGCAGGACTGCGTCGGCGCGGATTTTTGGCATGTCTTGAGCTTTGACGCTGCTTTGAGGGAGGGGGGAAGGAGAAGGATGAGAGAGAGGAGAACAGGGGAACGTGGGAGGAGGATAGGGGGAATCCAGACGCAGGAATAGCTCAACGATGTGAAGTTTCGTCATAGCAATCGCCAGCGCACAGAGCGCACTGTATACCATCACTTCGTTTTGGCATTTTGTTTCGTTGATTGGTTCTCTTTAAGAATGTATCTTTCGCTCGTCCAGGGCACTCGGGCACCAGGCATGTGGGTTGTAGGCCTTGGTGCGCCCTCGACTTGAGCGAGGCAATGCACGAGTGCATTGCCGCGGGGTGGTGCAACCAAATGCACCGCCCTCCAGCCCGACACGTGCCGAGAGAGAGCCGATTTGGAGCGTTCGCAAGAAAATCACAAGGCTGTTCGACGTCAAAGTTAGGGCCCCGAGGCTTCGAAATCCATACTGTTCGGTGCCGAGGGCTTTTGTTTTCGGTGCGCGTTCACGACCAGAGCCCTCGGGGTCACGTGAACTTAGCCGCTGGGTGCAACCAATATCCTCCACCTCCCCCCTCCGTCCTCCTCCTCCCTTCTCAATTTCCGCTCGCTTCTCATCGTCCCCCCCCCCCAGCGAACCTAACATATATTAGTTTCCTTCACCTTCTGTCCAAAACCACAATAAAGAAATCATAATGTAGATGAAACACACGCCCTAACTTTTTTTTTGCATGCTGAACCGCCCAAGCGAGAGGATAAAGACACCCCAGACGACCGATTGCCATCGGACGTGGCCTTGAGGCGAGCCTTGGACTCTCGCATCGGGACCGCGTCGCACAGCACCATCAACATGGTGCGGTCCAGCGGGCGCTCGTTTGCTGGGGCCTCCCCTCCGCCACCATACGCGCGCGAGTACCACTCGGGGCGCACCTTCGGCATGTCAGTCGGGTCCGCAGGGAGCTCGCTGACGAAGGACGGCTCGGTCGCGGCAAGCTGCTTACACAACTTCCACGGCGGGAGCTTCTTGGCGTATGTTTTCGCCCGCTTGAAATAGCCCCACTGTGCCATCGGACACATGCGCATCGTCCAATCGAAGCCGTCCACGAGGAGGGCGACGCACGCCGCCAGTTGAACCGTCGGCTCATGCAGCGTGCGCCACCCGAGGGATTCGCAAGCCTGCAGGACGACCGCAACCCGACCCATGAAGTCGTTGCGCTCGTCCAGGATCTTGTCCCACTGCCTCTTCGTGAGGTAGGCGAGGATGGACGAGAAGTCCTGCATCGGCGCCCTGCCCGACCCCGCCAGCTCCGCGCTTGCGGCCGCGTTAGCGGCCAACATTTGCGCTGAGGCCGTCGCCAACGTCGTGACGCGGCCGAGCAGCGTGGCAAGCGCCCTCTTGCCGAAAGGCATCTGGCCGATCTCCAGGACCAGCATGGCCGAGTCCTCGGCGGAGATGAAGGTCCACGGCGCCATGATGGCCATCGCCATGGCGCTCTGCGCCTCCGCGATCTCCTTGTACGCGTCGGACTTCTTCCCGATCTGGGCGAGGACCGACTTGGCGGCCTTCAGCTGCTTCACCAGGTCGGCCGCCATGGCGCCCGCGGGCGTCACTCGCGTCGCGCACGCGGCGCGACTGCAAAGCCGACAACGGCTATGCACAGCGATCGTTCAAAACGATTGCCGCCTACTTAAGTTAGCGATCGGTATCGCTTCTCTGCTTCTCCCTCCTCCTCCCCGCCCTCCCCCAAGCGATCGCTATCGCTTCTCCTTCTCCTCCTCCTCCTCCTCCTCCAAGCGATCGCCATCGCAACCTCCCCCCATCCCCCTCCTCCTCACACAAGCGATCGCCATCGCTACATCCCCCGTCCCTCCCCCTCCTCCTATGATCCCTCCTCCACCTCCTCCTCCTCCTCTCTTGTTTTTGCAACCCGTAGGGTTCGGTCCGTGCACGTCCTACTCCCCCCTCCCCCCCTCCCCCAAGCGGTCGCCATCGCTGTTCCCCCCGTCGCCCCTCCTCCTCCTTCTGGGGGAGGTGAAGCGACGGCGATGACGATGAGGAGAAGGAAAAAAGATGAGGAGAAGGAAAGCGATGTCGATCGCTGAAAGGAAGGTGGATGATGATAAAGGAGATCACTGAGCGCCGCGCGCAGCCGCTCTGCCTCGTGGAGGCGCGCGGGGCTCGCGCGCGCGGGGCGCGGAGGCGCGATGTGGGGTGCTCCGCGCGAGCTCGCGCAGGGGGCTCGCGCTTTGGCGCTCAGGCGCCAGCGCGACAACCTGCTGCAGCAGCTCGCGGAGGCGGATACCCCCTCCTCCCAGCGATCGCCATCGCTCTCCCCCGAATCCTCCTCCTCCGCTTCCTCCCCTTCCTCCTCCTCCTCCACCTCCTCCTTCCCCCTCCTCCCCCTCCTCACCCCTCCCCCCGCCCCCTCCTCCCTTCACTCCACCGCCCCTCTCCCCCTCCCCCCGCCTCTGCAGACTGTCAACGCGGAGCAGACAGAGCGCGCCGTGCAGCTCTCGCCGTGGCTGGAGGAGGCGGGAAACGATGACGACGAGACGACGACGACGGCGGCGGCGACGACGACGACGAATGAGGCGGAGCGCGAGCTAGTGATCGCGATCGGCGAGAGGGGCGCGGTGCTGCGGCGGGAGGCGGAGCTGAAGGCGGAGAACGCGCAGCTGAGGAAGGAGGCGCAGGAGGCGCAGCTGCTGCGGAGGGAGGGGCAGGCGCGCCTTCAGGCGGAAACTGCGCAGCTGAGGGCGGAGAAGGCGGAAAGAAGAAGAAGAAGAAGAAGGAGAAGAAGGAGAAGGAGGAGAAGGAGGCGGCGGCGGAGGCGAAGGCGGCGGCGAAGGCGGCGAAGGCCAAGGCGGCGCGCGCCGCGGCGAAAGCGCCAGCGGCGGCGAAGGCGCCGCCAGCGCCGCCAGCGGCGCCAGCGGCGGCGAAGGCGCAAATGCCGCCGCCGTCGACTCCGCCTCCGCGGCGAGGCCGCGCGCCCGCAAGCGCGGAGCGCGCCGCGCGCCCGCAAGCGCGAAAACAAAAGACCAGCGATCGTAATCGCTATCCCCTCGTCCTCTTCCCCCCACCCCGCCCTCCCCCAAGCGATCACCATCGCTTCTCTTCCTCCTTCCCGTCCTCATCCTCCTCCTTCCAAGCGATCGACATCGCTTCACCTCCCCCAGCGATCGCCATCGCTTCTCCTCCTCCTCCTCCTCCTCCTCCCCCTCCTCCTCCTCCTCCTCCTCCAAGCGATCGCCATCGCTACCTTCCTCATCCCCCTCCTCCTCACCCAAGCGATCGCCATCGCTTCTCCTCCTCCTCCCCATCCAAGCGATCGGCATCGCTGCCTTCCCCATCCCCCTCCTCCTCACCCAAGCGATCGCCATCGCTGCCGCGGCGAGCACCCACCAGGCGGCGCCGCGACGAGCTCCAGGTCGATGGGCAAATCCCAAATCCTGAAAAACCTCTTCAAATCCAGATAACCACTCCAAATCCAGAAAACCTCACCAAATCCAAAAAAAGATTTCCCCAAATCCGAAAATCGTTCCTGAAAACTACATCCACCTCCTCCTCCTCATCCCTCCTCCCCCTCCTCCTCCTCCTCCTCGCCCTCCTCCTCGCCCTCCTCCTCGCCCTCCTCTGCGCGGGGGCCGCGGGCCGCGGCGCCCCTGCGGCGCGGCGGGCGGGCGCGCGGCGGGAGGGGAAGAGAAGCGAAGGAGGGATGGAAGGAAGTTATAAGCTACTTATAAGTAACATATATGTTACTTATAAGTATTGCATCTCAGCACGGGTCAGTAACTTAGCGGTAGTTATGAGTATCTTCCAGCTTCATTAATAATCAGCGAAATACTTATAACTAACCTAAGTATAGTTATGCGACAAGACAAATACTTAAGGGCACATAGAAATAGTTAGAAATACTTAGGTACTTATCCCTTGCTATAAGTATCTTATACCTAGCTGTACCTATGGTGCAACTAGCATAAGAACCACCATTCTCGAAGTGGGCTCGCGCTCTTCGCGCCGAGGGTGAGGATGACGTGAGTTCCAAAGAAACTCCCTCAAACGACGAGCTGCGCATCGCCTGCGTCGGACCAGGCCGAGACGTCTGGCACTCAGCCCGCCGTGCACCGCGGACTGTCCGATTCAGAACCTCAACCAGAAGATCGAGGATCAGCGGAAGCAGCTCATGAATAAGATACGTCAGGCCCGTCGTATTCAGCGCAAGTGCCCCTTGCTCTACAAGGAAGCCAAGCATATCCTAGATTGCCACATCGACCTGGAGCAGCCATGGAACAGCCGCAGCTGGAAGCATTCACCATCTCTCAAGAAGATGCGGTCTGAGATGCACGAGACGATCATTCATGGATGTGCCTATGGACTCCGAGACGTGCGTTCTGGGCTACTGATGAAGAAGGGCTGGCGCGTGTGCTCCACAGACTCGGAGTTCGCCGGGAAGCTGGGCCGTCACTGCTCTAACCGACTTGGACGTGCTGACAACCGCCACCATCGTGCCATCGAGGACGGTCCCGTGGTCGCGCAGACGGCCTACTACCCACCAGCGCTGTGTAAGGCCTGGGCGAAGCACATCCTGAAGAAGAACGACAGCGCGCAGTTCGGCATGGAGATCTTCACGAGTCTTGAGCAGATCCCAGAGGAAGACGACACCGAGATGCCAGACGCCGAGGACGACCCAGAGGACATCGAGATGGAGGACGCCGCGACGACGCTCAAGGGCTTGGGCCTCGACAGCGACCTCGAGAAAGGAGGCGCTCGAGATCGAACAACGGCTCTCTCGACTTCGCCGTGACCTCGGACATCCCAGCAACAGGACGCTCTACAAGATCCTGAAGGCATCAGGAGCACCGTCCCAGGTCCTCAAGTTAGCCCTGGAGTTCAAGCGTCACGGCTGTCATGTTGGGAAACTACCTAAGGCTGTTCGAGTGGCTTCGGGAGTGGAGATCCCCGGGGTGCTTTCAGCACTGGCATCGGATGGTCTCGAGTGGCTATCTCCCGACCAGAGCTCGCACTTCATGACGCTGAACCTGGACGAAGGCTCTGGACTCACCAGCGTCACGTATCACGGCAAGAGGGGCGACCAGAGCAGCAACCGCACAGCCACGGAGGTGATCAGCACTTGGGAGTCGTGGTGTACTCACTATCGCCGACCTTCTCTCCTACGTCTGGACGCCGAGGGCTGCCGCTGCTCTCAAGCCGCGGCCAAGTGGACATCGGACAACGGCATCGAGATGCGGATCGCACCGGGTGAAGCTCACTGGCTGATGGGCAAGGTCGAGAGAAGGATCCAGCTGTTCAAGCGCCTGATGACCAAGATGGCCCACCACGATCCAGAGTGCTCAGTCGACGAACTGGAATCCTGGGCAGTCAGCGCCATCAGCTCCATGGACAAGGTCGGGAACCACTCCCCCTTCGAACGCGTACTGGGAGTGTCGGGGATGTCTGTTTCGAAAAACCCGTTCGCGATCATCGACCACGACTCTGGGGAGACCCATGAGCAGAGACGGTTCCTCGCGCGCAAGAGCTATCTGGAGTGCGAGTATGCTGAGCGGCGACGACATGCTGAGAACGCCCGGAACCGCGTCTACCAGCTGTGGAACCCAGGGGACATGGTCTACTTCTGGCGAGACGGCAAAGGACGTGAGAACCGACCTGGGAAGAAAGGAGGCTGGCACGGACCCGCTCGAGTACTTGTTCAAGAGAAGCGTCGCGTGGACGGCCGGACCCGGGTGACATCCGTGGTCTGGATCTCACATGGCAATACGTTCATTCGCTGTGCCCCCGAACAACTCCGAGCCGCATCGGAAGCTGAGAAGGTGATCAACGAGCTGCAGAAGCAAGCCAACCTTGGAGAGACGATGACGGAGATTCTGGAGACCGCCAAGTCGGGGACGCTCGAGGACCTTCTTGACCATCAGCGCCCAGGACTCCGAGAATACGAACCTGACGATAGACAGGGCGAACCAGCTTCAGGAGAACCTGCCGCGCTACCACCTTCAGCGGACACCGAGGCGAACGACGCGCCCGCCGCGTCACAGGCGACGACGCCGAGATCTTTAGCTTAGCCTGAAGCCGAACCTGCAGCTCCACCGGAGGAAGGGCAACCCGCAGTTCCTGCAGAAGCACCTCTTGCCGAAGAGCCACCTGCTCCACCTCCTGGTGAACCAGGACCCGCGGCACCAGCAGCACGAGCAGCATCTGTTCCACCGAGACCGAGCGGGGCGTCTCCATCATCAAGGGCATCGTCAGCACAACCACGACCTCGCAATCGAATGACCCACCGCGGCCCGGAGCTCGACCTGCACCGACCACCCGAGAAGCGGCAGAAGGGGAACGACACCAATGATGACATGGACCTCTACGTGGACCTGTACAAGGACAAGTTGGACATCGTTCTCGGCAGCGACGAGCTCCCGACGGTCTACTTCGAGTACCTCTGCGAGGAGAACGGCAAGAAGGTCACCAAGACGATTGCGGCTCCGAACATGGCCGATAGCTTCCTGACCAACCCGCGCCGCAAGGACAAAGTCGAGCTGACCTGGTCCAAGATGAACGCCGAGGAACGGAAGGAGTTTGAGGTGGCCATCGCGAAGGAGGTCGGCAATTGGCAACAACATCAGGGACTACGGCCCGTGCCAGCCGAACGAGTACAGGATGCTGCAGATGTCATTCGAGCACGCTGGCTCTTCACAAGAAAGTCGGACGGGAAGGCTAAGGCGCGGCTCGTCCTCCTTGGCTACCAGACGAAGGACCTCGGGAAGGAGCCCACTGCCAGTCCAACGGCCTCCCGGCGGGCTCGCGACATCATGCTGACAGTGGCCGCCGCGAACCACTGGAAGTTGATCAAAGGCGACGTGACATCGGCATTTCTTCAGGCGAACCAGCTCGAGAAGGACCTCTCCGTTGAACCCGATCCCGTGCTACGACGCGCATTCAACGTCAAGGAAGGCGAGGTGCTCAAGGTCATGAAGCCAGGGTACGGCATCGGTGAAGCTTCTCGTCACTGGTGGGGAACCGTGAAGGTCCCAACTTGAAGCCAGGGCACGGCATCGGTGAAGCTTCTCGTCGCTTGAAGTCCCAACTTTGCGAACGCAAAGTTGGGACTTCAAGCATGCGAGCTGGAACCCTGTCTATGGCAAGTTCGGTGTCCGAGGACTTCTCGTCTCATTGGGTTGGCCATGGCTCATGTGGACGACTTCATCCTGGCTGGTGGCAACAGCCACAGCCTCTGGACGAGCATCGTCGAGCAGATTCGCAAGCTCTACAAGTGGGGCACCTGGGAGGACATGAACGACGACTCCATCAAGAGCCTCGAGCAGTGCGGTGTCACCATCGAGGAAAACGACCAGGGCTTCTTTCTTCATCAGCACGCCTACGCGGACAAGATTCGAGAAGTTCAACCAGCCGATGGAGGCCGCCACCGTTCGACTGACACCCTGCGCGAGAGCGACCAGACCATCCTGCGGGCCTTCTGTGGAGAGGTCTACTGGTTGGGCGTGAAGACCATGCCCTTCGTGTTGTCGTGGGTGGCCGAGGGAGGAGGAGGAGGAGGGAGGAGGAGGAGGAGGAGGAGGAGGAGGAGGAGGAAGAGGAGCAGGAGGAGGAGGAGGACAAGGAGGAGGAGGAGAGAGCAGGAGGAGGAGAGGAGGAGGAGGAGCCGAGAGGATGAGAGGCGGAGGCGGAGCGGAGGCGGAAGGCGGAGGCGGCGGAGAGGCGGAGGCGGAGGCGGAGGAGGAGGAGAGGAGGAGTAGAGGAGGAGGAGGAAGGGGGAAGAGGAGAGGGAGGATGAGAGGGAGAAGGAGGAGGAGGAAAGGGAGGTAGGAGGAGGAGAGGGAGGAGGGAGGAGGAGGAGGAGGGAGGGAGGAGGAGGAGGAGGAGGAGAGGAGGAGGAGGAGGAGGAGGAGGAAAAGGAGGAGGAGGAGAGGAGGAGGACAAGGAGGAAGAGGAGGAGGAGGAGGAGGAGGAGGAGGGAGGAGAGGAGGAGGGGAGGAGGAGGAGGATAGGAGGAGGAGGGAGGAGGGAGGAGGAGGAGGAGGAGGAGGAGGAGGAGGAGGAGGAGGAGGAGGAGGAGGAGGAGGAGGAGGAGGAGGAGGAGGAGGAGGAGGAGGAGGAGGAGGAAAGCATGTGTTTTTCTCTGCTGTGGACCACGTCTGAAACGGTCTCGAGGGGACGAAGTCACAGGCTGAAACGTGGCGGGAGCACGGGCCCCTACCTGCCGATGAAGTCCTTTGTGCCGAACCTGCGCCTGAAATGAGGAACGCGCAACTGACTACGAAGTATGCCGCGATGCTCCCATTGAAACAGAGGTTGTCGCCCAAGGTGAAACCGACCAGGGAAGACCTCAGCTCGAACTGGCACGAGCACACTCGTGCGCAACACCAATTTCGAAATTGGCGATGAGGTAGTAAAAAGGCCATCCGGCCAGCGCGCGCGAGCGAACCATGGGCCCGCCGCAGGAGGGGCGAAGCGCGCCACAAAGCGTTACGATACCTCGCCTCGAGGCGCCTCCGTTAACCTATTGGAACCTGCGTGGGCGCGCACTATCACAAGGCGATGATGTCCTTCAGCACCTCGCACTCGTCGTATACATACGCCTGACCCGATGCCTCACTCGCTGAAGCTGACATCGCACTCGAAGCACGCACACCTCCAGGCAGATAATGATATTCATTATCATCACAATGCCCGTCCAAATTCTCCTTCTTCTGGCCATCTCATGAATCAACTGATCTTTAGAAACATCGCCCTGCAGAGCTCCAGGTCCACTCCATTATTCCCCACAAGATAGAGCTTGTCCATGAACGTGGGTGTGATCCTAATCCACTCGGCGATGTTGTACTGTTCCGCTGTCACGCTCGATGGGTCTGAGCCGACTGCCCCGTCGACCACCTCGTACAAGTCCCCAGCTTCCCGTCAGCGTGCTCCCATATCTTCTGGTGGGCGCCACCGCACACCTCGCCTCCTGACGCGGCGGCGTTGGCGGAGGCGGGAACCTTGGCAGCGGCATCTCCGTCACGACCTTTTTCACTTTGACGCTCGTGAGCGTTTCCTTGATAGCCGACTTCGGAGGATACGGAGGCCGAAGTATCTGATCACGTGGCGCGGGTGGTGGCTGGACCGTCGCCGAACGGATCTTCTGGAAGTTGCCCGCGTTGCTGCTCACCCTTAGCTGCTCTTCTGCTTCGCCCTCTGCTTGAACGTCTTCCCTTCTTCTTTTCCTTCCTCTTATTGTTCGGGTTCTTCTTCTATATTTTCTGGCACCCACTCTTCGCGCGCCGCGTGCTGATGGTTTCCCTGCCCAATGCCATGAACTCTTGCATGTGGATTTGGTCCAGTACGGAAGTGAAGCCTGGGTACTGCGGGTGCGTAGATGCCATGAGCAATTCTTGGCATGAAGTGTCCTGCGGCTGACTCCGTGCTCCTATCCAGGATGTTTGGGGAATTGCTGCACGAAGGTCGCCCGGTGAAGGCGGAAGCGACGGTGCCACAAACCTTGACCATGCACTTGACTTCGAACTCAACCTCGCAGCCGACGGGGAGGGTGAGCTCCACTCGTGCACATGCAGTCCCTGCGCACAGCACGCTGCTGGCACAACCCCAGGGCGCCCTGGCTGCGCGCGCCCAGCCCCCCGCGCGCCCAGGCGCGGCTTCGGGATGAGGAGGAGGAGGGAGAAGGAGGAGGAGGAGGAGGAGCAGGAGGAGGAGGAGGAGGGAGGACGAGGAGGGAGGAGGGAGGAGGAGGAGGAGGAGGAGGAGGAGGAGGAGGAGGAGGAGGCGGAGGAGGAGGAGGAGGAGGAGGAGGAGGAGGAGGAGGAGGAGGAGGAGGAGGAGGAGGAGGAGGAGGGAGGAGGAGGAGGAGGAGGAGGAGGAGGAAGAGGAGGAGTTGGAGGAGGAGGGGGAGGAGGAAGATAAGAAAAGAGGCGAGATCAGGTCTCCCCCCCCGCGTCCCGCAGTCTGGGGCCGCTCCCGACCAGAGAGTACGGAACGTGATGAACGCGTTGGTTAAGGCTGCTTCTTCCTCCAACTGGGTGAACAGGGACAATGGGACAAGCAGGGAGTGGATGTTGATCATGAATCATGATGTTGACGGCGATGGTGATGATGATGATGATGATGATGATGATGATGATGATGATGATGATGATGATGATGATGATGATGATGATGATGATGATGATGATGATGATGATGATGATGATGCTGATGATGATGATGATGATGATGATGATGATGATGATGCTGTTGATGATGATGATGCTGATGCTGATGATGACGATGATGCTGATGATGATGCTGGTGATGCTGGTGAGGTTGATGATTATGATCATGTTTCACGATGCATTGTGATGATGCTGCCGATGATGATGCTAATGATGAAGATGCTGCTGATAATCATACTGTTGATGGTGATGGTGGTGGTGATGATGCTGATGATGAGGATGATGCTGCTGCTGAAGATGATGATGGTGATGATGGGGTGGCGGTGACGATGATGGAGGAGTGGAGTGTATCGGAGCCCGTTGTGCAAGGACGTTGCTGATGATGAAGCCTCGGACGAGCTCGCACTCGATCGCCTGCCCTTCTGCTCGGTCTGGCTGAGGACTTTCGGCCCTCTGTGCGCCGCAGTCCGATCGAGGTATTTCTGCCGATGCTTACTGGTAACCCCTGTGCACGGCTTGCCCAAGAGACAAAAGTGTTTCCCGGCAGTTGACCCACATTTCGTGCAAAACCAGGTGCGAAGGGAGGTGTGCACATTCGGGTATGCGACTCGTTAGCCCAGCCCCTCGCTACGCGAAATCGACCCCCCCCCTGCCCCACCTTCGGAGACTTACCACACACCATCGACGTTATATAACACTGGGTGCGGTGTAGCCCACCCAGCTTTCATAGTGGCCTTGGTGGCCGAACAAAAACAAACCAGGCATCTTTGCTTATCGTCAGATGGCGTGTGACTCGACACACGCGCAGCTATTGCTTTGGCGGACGGCGGAGGAGAAGGAGGACGAGGAGGAGGAGGCGGATGAGGAGGAGGAGGAGGAGGGGCAGCAGCAGCAGAAGTGCCGCTCGTTTTCCCCTTCTTACTCTCCTCGGCCTCCGTGACCGACATACTATCCAAGGTGGCGCGCAACACAGGCATCTCCGCATCTTGAACATCTGATGCTCTTGTTGAAGCGCACGATGCCTGCCTGCTTCAAGTACCCGTGCTCCCCCTGCCGCTGCAGCCGCCAGGTGGCCTGCCACCGCATTCCCGACGCTGAGGGCTGCAGTGTCCTTACCCTCGGCCAAGGCTTTAGCCGTCAAGTGCGACTTGGTGAAGACCACCGCAATCAGTCGGCTTTGTATATGGACACCGATCTGACGCCACAGGTCGGCATCCTAACCCTTCGGCTGATTCGTAAGGCCTGCGAACCAGCCGTCTACGACGCCGTCCCAGTCCGTGACGTAGACCAATGCTTCAGGCCAAGGCCAAGGGGAAGGCCAAGGCCAAAGGTAGGTCAAAGGCAAGGCCGGGGCGGCGAAGGACGAGGATTTCGAGGACCCGCTCGAGAAAGAGCCCAGGCACGCAACCTTCGAGGAGGCTCTCGCGGCAGCCAACGCCTGCTCCAGGTGCTTGGTCAACATGGACGGCAGCATAGGGTGCCGATGCTGCATGGGCGCGCACTTCGAGGCGATTCGCGAAAAGTGCTTCCTGGCGCGCTCCGCCAAGGACGTCGCGGCTGCCGAGAAGAAAGCGACTTGCTGCTAGTGAGCGAGTGGCGCGCGACCGTCTCGAACCACGCGCCTCCGAGCCACGCGCGCTGGACGACAGTCGTTTCCCTTGTGTTGTGCGCGAGCCTCTCGACCCACTCGCTATCGCCCGAGTGGGAAAACCTTGCCACCGAGACAACTTGCCACGCCCGAGACACCAACACACCGGGGCACCTCGCCGCCGAGACAACAGAAGGGGTCCCTAGAGCATCGTATTTGTCAGGATTCCCATCCTCTCACCCCTCCAGGCAGGCCCCGCCTCAGCGAGCAAGAACTCGCTATGCCACAGTATTTCTCTGGGTTCCTACTCCTGTCGCCCCTCCAGGCAGGCCCCGCCTCAGCGAGCAGGGGCTCGCTATACCATGGTATTTCTCATGATTCGTGTTCCTGCCACCCTTCCAGGGAGGCCCCGCCTCAGCGAGCAGGGGCTCGCTATACCATCGTACTTCTCAGGATTCCTACTCCGCCCACCCGTCCAGGGAGGCCCCGCCATAGCGAGCAGGGTATCGCTATACCATCGCATCCTTGGGATTCCTGCTCCTCTCACCCCTTCTGCGGCGCTCCGCCAAGGCCGTCGCGGCTGCCGAGGAGAAAACGAGCCGCTGCTAGTGACGCGCGACCCTCCCTTTTGTTCCCATCAGCATCCGCATCAGCATCTTCAGCATTCTCCTCAACATCCTCTTCCCCAGGAAGAAGTTCATTACCCTCCGTAGACCCCGAGGTTTATTATCCCCGCCCTGTGAATCTCAGGGGCAGGGGGTCATTTCGGTTCTCGTGGGAGGCTTACGTATTTGGAGCATGCTGGCGCTCTCGAGGATTATCTTGGGGCGAAGGGCTCGGAGTGTCAGTTCGCGCTCCCCCTCTTGGGCCTCTCTGGGCCCTTCTGGGGCCCTCTGGTGCCCACTCGGGGGCCTTTTGGACCGTTCTGGAGCGATCTTGAGAGCCGTTTGGCCCGCGTTGGAGCGTTGGGAGACCGAAAAAGCGAGAACGCCAAAATTCATAATCAGTGATGCGTGCCTGTTTTAGGCCCCTCTTGAGGTGTCTTCGAGGCACTTTGGGCCGTAGGCCATCTTGGACCGTCCTGGAGTGCTTTTTGGGCCGTCTCGTAGGCCTCCTGGACAATCTTGAAGGCCTCGTGGGACCTTGTGGGCCCGCCTTGGGGCCTTCTAGCCTCGAGGAGAATTCGGCGCGAAACTCCAAACATCTGGTGGGGAACCGCAGAATGCACGCGCCGCGCTCCGTGAGTTGGAATTCTGGTCCTCTTGAATCGGCGGCGGGCGAGGGGGGGGGGGGGGGAACGAGGAAGGGGCGGGCCTTCTCAGAAGGCTCGGAAGTCCCCTGGCCTTCTGGGAAGTTTTCTGAGCCTTCCGCGAAGACACAGAACACCTCTCAGAAGGCCCGATGGGATCTTCTGAGAAATCCCGCCGCCTTTCCGCTAAGGCCTTCCCCTTTTCATTTCCCCCCTCGCTCGCCGCCGATTGAGGACCCGGGATTTGCCTCCTGGGGCAGTGGTAACGACAGGGGCAGTGGGCGCTGCCCTTGGCGGCTCTTCCTTTCTCCGCGGAGGCCGAGGGCGACGTTGGGGGGAAGGGGGAGGACAGGCTCAGCAGGGGGGGATATATCGACTCCAAATTTCCGATCGATCGCCGATGGGGGCCGGATAGCACACCCCGCCCAGCAGTTGGGTGCGGCAGTTCGGCCACCCCCTCCGGAAACCTTCCTGAGGAAGGTTTTAGGAAGGTTTGTTTTGTTGGGAGGTTCCAGGAATCCTGGATTCTTTGTGAGGGGGGTTTTTGGACGGTTTTCTTTGGAAGGTTCCAGGGATCCGGGATTCTTCGCGAGAAGGGTTTTTGGAAGTTATGTTTGAAGGTTCCAGCAATCCTGGACTCTTCGTGAGGAAGGTTTTTGGAAGGTTTTTCGGAAGGTTCCAGGACTCCTGGGTTCTTCGTAAGGAGGGTTTTTGGAAGGTTCTTTGGAAGGTTCCAGGGATCCTGGACTCTTCGTGGCGCGGGTTTTTGGAAGGTTTTTTTCGGAAGGTTCCAGGAATCCTGGATTCTTCTTGAGGAGGATTTTGGCAGGTTTGTTGGAAGGGTCCAGGAATCTGGGGTTCATATATATATATATATATATAGCTCTCCGAACCCACCAATAACCCCCCTTTCTCATGATTATATCTGAATTTATGTACGATTCCTACGATTTTCGGACTCAATTTTGAGGCTCTTGTTTGGAAGACTTTTTCGGCTCAAGTTCGGAGCGATGTTCACCCACACAACACCCAGTACTCAACAGCCTCCTTCTCCAACACAACACCCGATAGTCAACAAGCTCCCTCCCCAAGCTGAACTTGAAAATAACCTTCTACTCAACTCTCCGTCTCCAACACAACACCCAGTACTCAACAGCCTCCTTCTCCAACACAACACCCCATACTCAACAGGCTCCCACCCCAAGCTGAACTTGAAAATAACCTTCTACTCAACTCCCTCCGTCTCCAACACAACACCCAGTACTCAACAGCCTCCTTCTCCAACACACCACCCGATACTCAACAGGCTCCCTCCCCAAGCTGAACTTGAACATATCCTTCTACTCCACTCCCTCCGTCTCCAACACAACACCCAGTACTCAACAGCCTCCTTCTCCAACACAACACCCGATACTCAACAGGCTCCCTCCCCAAGCTGACCTTGAAAATAACCTTCTACTCCACTCCTTCCGTCTCCAACACAACACCCAGTACTCAACAGCCTCCTTCTCCAACACAACACCCGATACTCAACCGGCTCCCTCCCCAAGCTGAACTTGAAAATCACCTTCTACTCAACTCCCTGATTATATTTGAATTTATATATGATTCTCACGATTTTCGGACTCAAATTTGAGGCTCTTTTTGGGAAGACTTTTTGGGCTCAAGTTCGGAGCGATGTTCACCCACACAACACCCAGTACTCAACAGCCTCCTTCTCCAACACAACACCCGATACTCAACGAGCTCCCTCCCCAAGCTGAACTTGAAAATAACCTTCTACTCAACTCCCTCCGTCTCCAACACAACACCCAGTACTCAACAGCCTCCTTCTCCAACACAACACCCCGTACTCAACAGACTCCCTCCCCAAGCTGAACTTGAAAATAACCTTCTACTCAACTCCTCCGTCTCCAACACAACACCCAGTACTCAACAGCCTCCTTCTCAAACACAACACCCAATACTCAACAGGCTCCCTCCCCAAGCTGAACTTGAAAATAACCTTCTAC